TGCCTTTCCAACATCAGTGATTTAAGGTCAGTGGACACAATAATGATCAAAAGACATGATATGGAGATGAAATGTCAAGTTTAACATTTTAAGTGAGATTGATGTTTTTCAACAAGCAGCAAAAGGAGATTAAAAAAAAGCAAAATCTTAAATTTAAGGCGACACAAAGGTTGAAACTATAGGCTTCTGACTTTTCTTTTTAGGTTAATAAACATTTTTATGCACATTATAGCCTTAAAGAGCTGAAATACCTTAGTTATGGGTTTTGGTTTCCAGCCACTGCCCCTGACAACAAATGTGTGTGTATGGCTTAGCTTTTAGGTAAGCGTTGTCGAGCTCTGCTCAAGCATTTATGGACAATCCTGAGAGATTGCCAAAGATTTGAGAGCAGATTTAGCAAAACTCTTTTTTTTCTCTCTCTTAAAATTTACAGAGGAGTATTTTTTGCAGCTTAATGATAACGACCATGTTCAAGAACAGCCCACTTCTTTTCAAAGTGGACACAATTTGGTAAATTTCACAAAAGCTCGGTTCTCACCATCCTGCAAGTCTCATTCATGTGCATGATTTAAATCTAAATAAGACGTTCTGTTTTACCACTGTTCACACCATTTGCTCGTGTTCACTGTGTTTCTTAATTAGTCTTTTGGCTGTCCACCCGAGCCGTTGAATAATTGTCTAAAAAGCAGTTTTTTAGCCATCAAATATATGTCACATATTCAGTTGAGCACTCTAAATCACATGCAATAAATGTATAAATAAAACTCAATATTATTCTGATTAATGTGAGTTTCTCACCAACTTTTGTTCACACATATCATCACTGGTATCTTTTTTCCCCGCTCAGTAGTCACATTCTTTACGGCCAATTTAAGGTCATAATTTACAGCTTGTCCCTTCATTTTATTTTGAAGATTTCTTGTAATTTGACTTCCTTAAGACAACATAGTGGAGCTGGTGATTTGACAATTGGGTGGCAGCACACTGACAACATGACAATCCACCTCTATCATCATCTTTTCTTTAAATTGGTCCTCATCTCTCAACTTTAATGTATTGTGAGAATCCTTTCATCACATTGACATTGCGCAGTGACGGTTAAAACAACCTTTTTGTGTTCAGACTGGTACTCCAGGCCAGCTGTGCATGATTGGTCCTGAAAGGCAACTCCAGCTACAACCACCATAAGCAAACCTCATTATCCACAATTGACTACATCAGAAAGCATTACCTAAAAGTTTTGCCTTGGCCCCTCAGTGTCCCTAATCTCAACATCAAACAACTGTGAACAGACCTCGAAAGAGCCGAGCAAAGAGAACCAAAGAAGTGGAAGTCTTGGCTGGCAGCAGAGTGTTTACAGTGACACTTGCCAAATGGCGTGAGCCCTCACTCACAGGTTGTTTGGGCTTTACCTTCAGCCCCGCTGCCGAAAAATTGCATGAAAAAAGTTGGCCATCTTTACTGAGCTGCTTTTTAAAAAAAATAAAAGTTACAGTTTTCTGCTTGGCAGTACATATACACATTGAATAAATGTTTTGCAGAAATTTCTGTGTGCCATTCCGAAGTAGATGGTTTCAGATGATTCCACCAGCTAAAAGTGATCAGTAATAAAATTATTACAAAGAAAGAAAATGAGAAAATGTACATTAATCAGTGATATATTAAATAAAATATGATACATCATATAATTTATAATATGATAAAAAATGTAGCATAATATCATAACCACATATAAATTTAAACATAAATACAAACTAATAATAAAGACAAAATATCCAACTGTATAAACTTGTAAATATATATACCCTCAGATGTGGCCTTTATCAGAGGAAAGTTTCTGAAAAGGGGTATAAATATATATAGGACCAAAGGCCAAACTTTCTATAATCATGACCTTCATCATTCACGTTCACAAAGACTAAATTCCCACAGCAGCTGGTCTAACAGCACACTTTGTTGTTATATCATTCAGAACATAATTACTTACAGCATTTCTCATATTCAGAGCTCCATCTGCCTTTTAGTATGGTTAGCTTAACGAAAAAGATGAAAAAATAAGTTCTAATGAACGTAAATAAAGCCAAAATTTGTTGCGTTGGCTGAACAGGCAGGAATTCCGATGTCTGAAGGCTCTGTGATAAAAGCTCCTAATGATGCTTAAGTGCAGTATCTATTTGAGCTAATGCAATTGGAAAATGCATGAGGAAGCAATCCTGCCTTGTAGAAATAGCCTAATATATGATCATTAAGGACTCTCAGGGTTGTATTCAGCCATCTCTGGAGAATTGACTGATAGATGGAGACAGCCCTGGATGGGGATATCATAAAACTGAACCAAATGAGGTTTTAAAAATTAAATTTATGCCTCCAACCAGAGGGAGCTGTTATTGCGAATCCAAGAGAGGTCCCTGAATGCATGCAAGTTGGTTGAGCCCTGATAAAAATGACACTAACGAGGACAAAATAATCAGCAAACAGATCTCTCTCTCCCTCCTCTCCACCTTTTCTCTTTGTGAGCTGTACCTAATGATTCGCTAAAAATACCCCGAGATCAAGGATGGTTCCGTCAACGGTGCAAGAAAAGCCAAGATGAAAGAGGGGAGTGCTTTCTAATGGCAGGCCGTGTCTCTCTGTGATTGGCGCTGCTTGTATGGATCGCTCCAAACCTCCTTTCAGCACCTTTCGCCTCTTTGTTCGTGCTAAAACAAACCCTCTTGGCTTGAAGGGATCATTTGTATCAAGCATATAATGAGCCTGATTAGGCTGTCAGAAGTACAGTTGAAGCTTTTGCAGGGGGAGAACAGATGTAACTTCCAGATGTGTACAGTACGACCAGAGTTTGTGATATTCATCAGCGCTCGTTCGTGCAGAACTGATTTGTTTACAACCTTTGGGCCAGAGCTAGTCAGCCGCTCCACGTCTCATCCTTCAGCTCACACGGGGAACCGCTGGCGAAAATGTATTTAGCTCTTCATCTGGGATCGGGGGGAACGGCTTCATCTTCCTGTCACTAATATGATAAATATGAAGTTTCAGCTTCCAAATTAGAGCCGATCACGGAGGGGAAGACTTCGCAATTTCAGGATTTGAAGAGAACGTTTTGAAAGCCGATCCTCTCGTGCAGCCGTCTCAGATGGGGTGATTAAGAGGAGACATCCTTTCCTGGGCGTAAATCCGCCAGCCGTACAGATCCCCGCATCCTAAATCTGTGATCTCTCTGAGATACATGTGGCTGAATCGAGCCCAAGTTGAAACTCGGTGCAAAGTTAAATATATAATGTTCTCATCAACTTGCTGCAGAGTTTCTGATGCTTGCTAATAAATAAAGAAAAAGCCTTTGAAATTATGCCTGAACTGTAAAGACGATGACATCCACACGAATCAAATAAAAATGAAGGTTTTAGTTACAGGTAATTGGGTAGCTGCTGAAATTAATTGTGTGGAGGAATGTCAGATAGCAAGGACAGGAAGAAAGCGTGTTCAAACAAACACTGATCGCTTTGACAGAGTTTCCATGTCTAATAACTCAACTCAAACACCGACATAAAAACACAGAGGGCTGAGTGTGAAATGTCCCTCATTATCAATGCATATTCCGTCCAGTAATTACTTTTGTGTGGCTACAGATGAGGTGCACAGCCTTGGAGCTTTATCAGGGTGACTGGCCTTTATAAGCAAGAATTACTCGAATGAAACAGGACAGATAAACTTTGATTTCTGGAAACTTTCAATTTAGCTTCTGTTAGTCAATTCTAGTTCCACAGAAAAAAAAAGGAATATAATGTCTACATATCATGAACACCTCTAAATTTATCTTTTCAGACAGGGAAGAAAACACAGGCGCAGCTTCCGATCAATTCTTTCCACCCACAGACCGTTGGAAATATGTGGCCCAATTTACCGAAGAAACATTCTGTTGCCAACATTTTAGTTGTCAGACTATTTTAGTTTGAAACTGTGAGCATCTGATGTGCACATACTTTGCGCTAAAGTTCTAAAGCAAATATACCATTAATCAGGTATTCTATTACAAGTTTATCATTTACTTTCTCAAAGGAGCCCTTTTTTATTCAGACTGACTGCTGAGTGCACAGTTCCCGTGATGAAAAGATGATGGCACACAAGTTGTTTTTGGTTTTCTGCAGGTGGATAATTCAGGTTTTTATTTCCTAAATACAAAGAGGACACAAATCGATGTTGAGTATTTTATCTAAAAGTAACCCTCAACCCAATTCCCTTTTTTCTGCATTCAAAATCTGACAGTTTATTGATTTTATAAATGCAGCACAGTGTTTCTTTTATACACTGCATAATAGAAAGAAACAATGCACCCAGTGTTAGGTGTTGGTTTTAGATTTCAGAAGGGTTTTATTGCTCCTTGTGTTTCTTTTTCTGGGGGAAACGGGTCCAAATGGCTCTTGGAGTGTTTAAGGTTGCCGATCCCTGTTCCAGATTGTTTGGAACCCTGCCCGAACTCATTTTACTTTCAGAGTCTATTTAATGTAGTGAAAGTGATGAATAGGAGCGGCAAAAGCAATGCAAATGTTTCTGTCCTCTTTGGAGGGAGCATTAAATCTCTGAAAGAGCCTTTGGACATTTCACCGTGTCTTTGTTAAAAGAGACTTCCTCTGCAGCCTATCACTAAAAGCCAAATGAATTCTCTTAATCATTACATCCTTACTAACAAACTCATTCGTTACGAGTAAAAATTTGTCATGGTTAAACTGTTCGTACAATGTTCTCAAAAGCTGTGTAACCCTAGATCTAACCATTTTGAGAGACCTGAACCCCAGCATTTCTTTATAAAGCCATGCATAACCCAGCTTACCTTTTTGTGCAGCAGTGGCTAATTTAACAGTGTTTTGAATTAAAAATACTCATTGAAATCTCTTTTTTGCTTACTCAGATCTCTCAGCATCCGGCCCCTAAAGGTGTCTGTGGAGCCTTGTTCAGAGAAAGACATCAATTTCCTTAACTTCAGAAGATACTGAACTACTCACTGCTTATCCATTTGGCGTTTGGGTCATGAACCTTGAAGTCTTTTCTGAACAGGTCTCCGACTGTCACTTTTCCCTTCAGAGCCAGATGGTCGTCTTCACCTGTGAGGAAAGGATCAGTTTCGTTTCAATATGAATTCATACCTGCTTGCCTGTATTTACAAAAAATGTTTAGTCTTAAGGGGACAAAACAGCAAAAACGCATAAAACCTAAATCCAGATGTTTTAAGTGTAAAACTTTGGCTACATAATTAATTCTTTGTGAGTAATTCAACATAATTCAAAGTTGTACTGTCACATTAGGAGGTTAAAGGAGTTAAAACAGACTGAGATTAGACCGATCCAAACAACATTATTCCAGGCGGTTGTCTAAATAACATTATCACTTGATGATGAGACAGGAAGGTTTAGATGTCAGATAGAGCATCATGCTTAAACATAATGAGAAAGCTGGCAAATAGGTGGGACAGGATGAGGAGGAAGGTCATGAAATTCTTTAAATGCTGTGCTCTCGTTCTTTTGAAATGTTTGCGACATTAAAGAAAGTAATTTTTCAAAGAAATCACCGTGTTTTGACCTGTAGAAAAATGAGTTATGTTCGTAGGATACGGTCGATGGGCCAGGCGGACATTAAGATATTCCAGGGAAAGATATAAAAAACTCAATGAATGCTATGAGGAAAATAATACAAAGATCTGATTGAGTTTCTTTTTTATATCGACAACAAAAGCTTTATTATATCTCCCACAGCATCTTAACAACTTCTGCCTGCGGGCTGTTCACCTTTCAAAGAATGACAACCTTCTGGAGACACACGGGCACAGGAGTGCAATAAAACCCGAGCATCGTCTTAACTCCCTCGGGCTTATGATTAAAGCAGCATGGCTTCTGATCGCCGGACTAGACACGCATATTTACAGCAGATGCTTCCTGCAATTCACTTCGGCTTAATTTCATCCATCAATGCTCATCATATCATCTCCTGCTCCATAAAACCAGTCATTTATATTTCATCTCCATAAAGTGGGAGGATTAAAAGCAAAAGGCAATATTGTGTCACATATCGTCGTTTCTAGCCGGTGTTTTCTCACCCCCAGGTGCCATTTTGGTGACTTTCAGTCAAATGGGGCAGAAAGAAGTTTGTGAACGGGATTCTATGAAGGTATTTCTTTAAAGATAGATTATTACAGCTTATTTATGACAAGGATGATAAAACCACAACAATGCTGTGGTAAAAAAAATGTTTTTAAAGACTGGAACATCTCATTTAGAAGCAGATAAATAAACTAAATTATCATAATTAATACAATAATTTATACAATAAATGGAAAATGTTTTAATTGGGGAGATTTAAGATTTCATTTCTCTAAAGAAACACATTTTATGTAGTTAACTTTACAAAGTCCGCTGTGGGTGTTTAATTTATGTATGCATGAAATAACATGCACGGTTGCACAGAAAAAGGTTAACGGTTTGATTCCCGAGGAGCCTCATGGTGTGGAGTGTGCATGTTCTCTCCAGGTTCTACAGCTTCCTCCCGGCAAAATGGTTGTATGAAATAATACCATGAAAAAAAATCTCAAGCAAAATGGTGAAAGTGCCGATAAAAAGAACAAAAAAAGCCCTGACATTGAGAATTTTCTAACTCGGAGACAGTGACGTGACTCCCACCTTTCTGTCTGCAGGGGATCATTTATTTCGTGGAAAGAACAAATTACCAAAACTCTTTGGTCATTTTTTGATTGGAAGACATGCTGTGAAAAGCGCCTTTCTGATGTTCAGCCAGAGTGGATGCGGGACAAAAAGCCTCGCACGGCAAAGCAAAAATACCTCAGCCACCACTCAATTCTTTATATTTCACTTCCAAGCAGCCAGACTTTCTTTTTTATATTCAGAAGTGCTCTCAAACAATATTCCTTCAGGCTTTATGAACACTTTTCAAATGTTTTATTCCAACATGAGCTGCTTTCACTCGACTACAGCTTCCTCGATTCCTCCAAAAAGCCCATTCAACAGAGGAATGAGTTTTCTAGGTATGTTAGGCTATTTGACATTGACTTATATACGGTTGAAAAATTAGAAAATGTAACAAACTGGAGTCATAGGTGCACATACCATTTCCTGGCAGAAAATGAAGAAATCGGGCTATGTACAGACAACCATGTAACAAATTACCAGTAAGTGAGGATGCATTGTTTACCGCTAACTCTTGAAATTAGCAATGAAAGGTATCACTGGTTTTTCCACGGGCAGAATATTAGACTCTTGCCTTTGAGCGTTTCTCCTTTTCTCCGACTTTCAATGCAGCTGATAGATTCTCTTCATGAAAACATGGCTTCGTATCTACAGCTGGCTCATTCAAACTGTCTCCAAGTGTAAAACATCACTGGCTGGTGATGCATCTGAAAAAGATTCAAACGTGGTTTGCTTAAGTGCCTCTGAGCTCTGGCATCAGAAAGACTAAAGACCCTCATGAATGAAAACCAGAAAAACCTAAATTCTTCGAGACATACTGAGCAGCATGTGGGAATATTTGTTTTTTACGTAATCTGATCAATATCCAAACACGCTTCATTTTGTTGGAACCCAGCTCAAGATTGACAAGATGGTTTAAAATGACCCTAAAAACTGGGATTTTAATCCAAAGCAGCTCTGGAGTAACTCACGTCTGACAAAGAAATGATGGAAATTGGAAATTATGATGATGCTGTTTCTTCAAACCTCTTCTGTCAATAAATCTTTTTTAATGCTCTAAAGAACTTCTAAGCTTTTATTATGTTTGTTCCAGGTCTAAATCAAACTTAAAAATGGAAACACAAAATAAAGTTATTCAAAGGTTTATAGAGAGAAAATAGAGACTTAAAAAATAAGGGAATTGTCAAGTCTGAGCAAAAAGTAAACAAAAAAAAAGAAAAAAGAAAAAAAAACAGTGCAATAATCAGACAAAAAAAGAAAAACAAGACACCTAGAAACATTTAAATCTATTTCCTTCAGAAAGAAGAATACGCAGCCTCCACTGTTTTTATGAGTTAAGGTAAGATGTCTCTATAGTAAAAAAAAAAAAAGAAAAAGAAAAAATCCTCTGACAGTTAACACCAGATGAAGAGCATTTAAAATCTCATAAATACGGATAAGAGAGCATTTGTGCTCGCTTTTGGTAAAATACAGCTTAAAACAAATCTGGGTTCCTTTTTTTAAATGAAGTTTTCGCCTTTTCTTTAAAGCAGGTCTGTTCTCGTTAGATGTGTGTGCTGTTTTGATGCCGACAGATGGACAAACACCAACTCATGCTCAGCTCCTGACATCATCACAGGGGACAAAGAGACCTTTGAAGGCGTCTGCTAGATGCACCAGCCGAGTTTTAATTATTTTAAGAGTCAGACTGCTGATCGGCACATGTGCTGCAGCCTTCCATAAGATGGTTAGCATTAGAAAGAACAGCCTCCAAATTTACTATGGGACATAGCAATATTCATGTATTCAACAAAGATTTTACATTTACACCCTAGACAGGTCATACTTCGTATTGCAGGGAACAAGAATACCTCCTTGGGGCAACCATTAATTCAAACAGGACATTTCTTGTTGCTGCTAAATCACATTAAAAAGTCGTTTTCAGGCTTCGTCTAAAAGTGTTATATTGCAAAAAAAAAGTTAATACTTGAGCTTAACAATCTTAAGTGATTAAATTATTTTGTTTGGTTGGACATGGTTGTAGGTGTAAGTTAATTTATCATCAAAAAGGAAAAAAGGAAATGTTCTGTCAGTAATACAGGGAAGTAAAAAAACAATTTATCATATCTTTATATTAATTAATTTAACAGATATAAGACTTTAATTCATTCAATATTTTTGAGTAAAGGTTCCTCAGAATTTCTGAAGGCCTTTCATATTTTTCTGTGTAGACATTATTTTCCCACAGTTTTAGTCCCTAAACTCGACCTTATTAGTTTTAAAATAAAAAGCAAAAATGTTTTCTTTATTTTTTTAATCTTATCTTTATGTACTGTATTTATTCATCATTGATGGCTACCTGTTCTTTTCTTCTCTTTCCACTCTGCTGCAATAACGACGTGAATTTCCCCACTGCAGGACAATAAAGTAATATCTTATCTCTTATCTTATGAGCAGATTCTCACAAAGACACATCATTTGTTCTCCTTTCTTTAGGTGGTGTTAAAAAAGCAGTTTTACAGTCATAAAACAATATTTTTTGCAGCATTTCCAAAGAGATATTAGCTGAAAACATCTCAGCATGGTGTGCAGCGTTTCCTTAAAACATTTGAGGAAACGGAATGTGCGGAAGCCTTTTTCCATGGCCTCCCCGAAAAGACATTATCTAAAACAGAGTATCAACACAAAGCAAGTATTTATCAAACAAATTCAAAATTAAATGTGGTAAATGTGGATCTCTTGAATGACATCTGTATAAAACTGAGTCATTCTGACTAACCATCTCCAGCAAATTACAAGTTACATCAAATTACGAAAAACTGTAATTATGGATAATTTTGGGTCTAGGAACATAAGGTTCATTAAAAGCCTACTGTCAGTTTTGCAACCACCTATTAGACTTTTTGAACACGGAGATCTGTTACTATGATCACCATCACCAACATGATAAAAATAACAACTAAAACAGCTAAAGAAAACTTGCTAATTAGTGTACAAAACATGGGTAAAGTTGCCCGCTCTCCTTGCCAGAGAGCTGCGCGGTGACAGTTGGTTTCGTGCATAATCTCGGTGACTGCTCGCTTTCAGCTTTGCCAAGTAAAAGCAACACGTTCACCTCCCACTGTTTCAGCAAGCTGCCACTCTGTCAGTCAGCCTGACATCCCTCAGTCTGAGAAGCCAAAAGCGAGCGTCTGACCTAGTTGTGCTGAAGAACAGAGCAACCTCTTAGGGAGCGTTTCATTACAGCAGATCCAGGTTGTCGGGGGGAGGAAGAGGAGAAGGAGTTTGAAACTCCGAGCACGTGTGCCAGCGTGTGTGTATAAGTGTGTGGGATAGAACAAAGTGGTTGTCAGGTGCAGTTAGAAAGTGGCTGGCCTATCTGGATGGGGAACATCCATCAAACAAGCCTGCTAACTGAGTGGAAACAACTCCTCTGACGAGCCGCACCACCACAGTTTGCTGCTCGGAGCGGGCTGCCTTTGTTCCCAAAATGCTCCCCTTTCAAATGTAATTGGAGCAAAAATAAGATGTTCTGAATGACTAATGGATTTTGCATTTCATTAGGAAAGTCTCTCCTAAAGTACTCCGGAGTGTAACAAGTTACAGGTGATGTACTTCATACTGCACCAAACACAGTTTTCTCTATAATTAAATTTGTCAAGTTCAACATTCTTCAAATCAATGAAGGCAGCCTTATCTAACAGTCAGTTTGGGTTTGAAAGCCCGGCCAATTTTTTCCTAAACTCGCTTCGATAATCTGCTTTTATTGTTTTCAGATTGAATACATTCTTCCTTTTAAAAGGGAAGGCTGAGTTTCACCTCTAGAAATGTGACATTTTCAGGATTTAAATGCCACAACTGCCTCTGAAAGGGAGTTTTTTTTTTTTCTTTTTGAATCCATTCGAACAGAATTGTGGTCAGATATGCTTGGTCTGATTTGTAGTTTCTTTGATAATACAACATTTTTCAATAGAAGCAAGAATGAAATTGTGATATCAGAACATCTTGGGTCTCAATGGCCGCATGCAGGGACGGCAGAGATAATTTTTCTGCAGGCAGGAGCCTGAATAGACCACAAGGCTTCATAGAAAAGAAAGCCACTGCATCACTGGAGATCATCACCTACAATGTATGAAATTCAATACCCCTTGTCAGCGGCTCCACAATTTAAATACTTGTGAAGGGAAGGGAAGCATTATGGTTTCTCTATATTCATGTTATTTTGAGGAGGAGCCTTCAGAAAGGACCCACTCAATGATCAAAATCCATAGACGCTGTTAAGTTATATAAAAGTTGTAGATTCCACAGTGCTGATCTAGTTTCAACAAAAGAAAATGGAAGTTTGCACCCCTCTTCTACATCAGGTCAAACCTGATTTAAAGCTTTCTGAAGTATCCGTTGCATGCAGCTCAAATTCCGCTTTCTGTATA